CTACATTCTAAACGACAAAAACCGACTTACATTCAGAATTTACTCCATCATTAATGTCATAGGGTTGCACGTGCGCAATAATAATGTTATTATCATTATTGTCACCGTTGGAATTCATGATACACGTAGTTATTCGTGACTAATGTATATATAAATTTTAATGAGAGACTTAGTGAAATGTAAGAGAAATTTGTTTTTAAGAAAATTGTTAAGGTATATAGAAGGAATAAATATTCTTTAATCTTATATAAAAAAACTATACAATATACTGTATATTTAGACTTTATTCTATTTTATTAATTTGCGATATGATAATTTGTTTCACAAGAAACTGGGAGAGATCTTTTAAAACAATTGACAGATTGTTAGAAACAATTACCAATATGTCAGCTACTTCAACTCAGGCATTTGAAACCATGAGGCAATATAGAAATAAAATTAAATCTGAAATCGTTAAAGTGACACAGGATATTGCAAATATTCAACAAATTCAGGATCGCCTCGAAGTTGCACAGAAAGCCTTGCAGAAAACTGATGACCAAAAAAAAGCATTCTCTAACTATACAACATCCGAAACCATTACACTTAGGAAAATTGTTAATGCTGACTTTCATAGTACTGTTTGTACTCTTCATTTAAAAGACAATTTAATTTGTCATGAAAATTGTGAGCTTGAAATGGAATCAGCTTCTGGAAACGATCATTTTGCTGCATGCAGTTATATGGGATGTGGTAGATGTTTAGTATGCGATTGTGGAGCTAAAAGGTAATTATAAATATATATATAGTATATATTACGTATTCTCATATTTATTTATTTATTTAAACTCTAAATTATTAATTTCGAATATTTTATATAGTCACTATCATACCAGCGTTAAATTGATTTATGAGACCCAAACTCTCAATAAAGTTCTCGAAGATATGAAAGAGCTATATGACAGAGCTAATGAACAACATCAACAATACTCTGATGATGCAAACAACTTTCAATCAACTCTTGCAAATCTTCAAACTACAGCTAATGCTAAATATGAAGAAATTCATAAACTTTGTAAAGAATTAAGTAAAATTTGTTCTCGATTTAACTTTGTTGATGAACTTAATGCAAATCTTGAGAGCATGCGACAAGATGCAAAGGCAATACGGAATACTAATCTCCGAAAGAATGCAGAAGCAGAGATCGCAAGACTTGAAAAATTAGCAAATAATTTGTCTTTAAATGCACGCCAATATGCCTCGACATCTTTTAATTCTGACACAAATGATTCTGACTAGAGATGGGTTTCATGCGTGCGCATGATTCCTCAATCATGCGCATTCATGCGCATTTTATCCCATCAAGATTTTATATAGAAAAATTAAAATATAAAATAAGTATAATAAACATTCTAATAAATGTTAAATTGAACCAATCTGGATCACAAGATCAATAATTAATAGTTTGTCTAGATTTTTTTATAACACAAATACGAATCTTAGTTTATTGAACGCCCTAATGCCACACCCATGTAGAACATTTTAATTTTTTAAAAATTTTTAACTTTGATTAAAGATTTCTTGACACTCATCTAACCAAATTTGAACAACTTTTTTCTTTGATTTATACAGCATTTTACAATTAAAATAAAAAAAGTTGACCGAATTTGGTCAGGTGGGTGCCGAGATATCTTCAATTAAAGTTTGAAACTGCAGCTTATATTTGATAGACGTTTAGAATTCTACAAAATCTTTGATCGAAGATATCTCAGCACACACCTGACCAAATTTAATCATATTTTTTTTCTTTGGATACAGTTTTCTATAATTAAAATAAAAAGACATTGATCGAATTTGGTCAGGTGAGTACCAAGATATCTTCGATCAAAGATTAAAAACAATTTTTGCTGCAGCTTATATTTGATAGACGTTTAGAATTTTACATTGATCGAAGATATTTCGACACCCACCTGATCAAATTCAATCAACGTTTTTTTTTTTTGAATTATAAAGCTTTTACAATTAAAATAAAAATAAGTTGATTGAATTTGGTCAGCTGGGTGCCAAAATATCTTCGATCAAAGTTTGAAACCAATTTTTGCCGCAGCTTATATTCAAAAACATTGATCGAAGATATCTCGGCACCCACTTGACCAAATCGATCAACTTTTTTTTCTTTGAATTCTACAGCTTTCTATAATTAAAATAAAAAAATGTTGATCGAATTTGGTCAGGTGAGTTCCGAATTTTACAAAACATTGATCGGTGTTATCTCGACACCCACCTGACCAAATTCGATCATTTTTTTTCTTTGAATTATACAGCATTTTGCAATTAAAATAAAAAGAGTTGATCAAATTTGGTCAGGTAGGTGCCAAGATATCTTCGAAAACAAATTTTGTCACTGCTTATATTTGATAGGTGTTTAAAATTTTACAAAAACTTTGATCGAAGATATCTCAGCAAATTCGATCAACTTTTTTTCTTTGAATTCTACAACTTTCTATAGTTAAAATAAAAAAGTTGATCGAATTTGGACAGGCGAATGCCGAGATATCTTCGATTAATTGTATAAAAAATTATATCTACATGGGTGGTATTATCAAAAAAGGGTGTAGAAATATCAATTCCCTAAATTTAAATATATAATTAATTAATTAGCCTCTTCAAATTGATATAATATTTATATTAGCGGATTTAAAAACATTATAAACTATTCAATTTAGCAGATTATCAATATTGTCAAATTAGTTTTGAGAGATTTAACAGTAATTAAAATATAAAAATATCAAGATTATGAAGGATTAAATAGTTAAGATTATTAAATATTAAGTTCTTTTTATGCATCTTCTTTATTAAATTCGTATTTATATATAAGATAAGCAGCAATGAAATTTATAATCGGCTAATTGGTAAAAGCTATATATAAGTAGGCAAAATCTGATTAAGAATTAATATGTAGTATCTTTATTTAGATATATTATTTTAAAAAAATTTTTTATCATGCGGTATCATGCGCATTTTATATATTATGCGCATTTTATTATAAAATGCGCATTTTTCCCATCTCTAATTCTGACACATATAATTCCAATTCGTATAACTCCAATACATATGATTCCGAAAAAATAAATCATTCAATAATTCGTTTCATTCTTTTGTGATACGAGCAATTTATTTGTTTTTTACATTATTATTTGTTTAAATTATTACTGCATATAATTATTTTTCCTTCATATATATTTCCTTTTATATCTTTATTTAACTAAGTTTATCTTGTGACACTGGAATTTATCATTATTTGTTTTTATTAATATATTTGTATTAGTCATCATTATTTAATTAGAATAAAG